GAATACTATCCCAGCAAAGTCTTGATGACGTCGTAGGGTCTTTCTCAAATGGATTCTCTGTGAGGAGACATTTGGATGATCATGTTGTTGCTGCTGTTTGGCAAAAAGCGTTTGTGGGGGAGAGTTTGTTCAGAGAAAGACAAGAAATTAGGAAGTTTAGGGACGTACAGCTCTTCTCAGTTACAGTTCCGGGACCCCACGTGTGCTCCTTGTCAGTGAGGAGGGTGGGTGGTTCACGCTTAACACACCGACTTGCCTTTTAGCAGGCAAACAGCGGGCATGTGGCTAGTGATGATGGGTTTTGGCCAAGGAGCAGTGAATTATTAAGCTAGGCTCGCTCGGCTGCTTACAACTGTGGCGAGTCATTCTGTCCTCCTCCAGCCAGTTCCACTCGCCACTTGTGAGCCTGTGGGTGGTCTGTGGTACGCGCTGCCCTTCCCCTAAACGTCTGGGTTATCACTGCTGAAAAAGCGTTTAACTTCTACAGCTTCACCGACATTAAGGTACATAGGGAAGGGCTCACAGAGCGAACAAACCAACAGGCACTTGGAAGCGTTGTCTTGATTTTTTTAATCCTATTAAGACAACTTATTTCCATGATTATGTATTGACTTTCACCCTCCTTTCCTGCCAAATCAGCTGGAGACAATGTCACCCAAAGCCTGCTAAATAGCAGCAGAGTAGTGTCTGCAGCTTAGCACGGTTTTACCAGTACTGGAACGCAGCTCTGTGGCGTTTGGTTCCTAGCTTCATGGATTGCTCTCATTCTCAGAGTCCATTTTCAGACCACTCACCCTTCTGTAAAATGAAATCGATAATATGTCGTTCCCAGAAAAAAAAAAAAAAAAAAAAAAAAAAAAAAAAAAAAAGTAATGATCGAAGAACTCACAGTGCATTTCAAAGCAAAGCAAAATAGAAAAAAACCCAGGTGTATAACTAATAGTTTCAAGTAGAAGCATCCAGCTTAATATCTAGTCCTATGCACACAGAAGAAGAAATGAGATTCTTTAAAATTCAGATAAGCGGGGTTAGTTTTCAGCTAAAGATTCTGAGCACACTGCTTTTGTGTGATAATATTTTAGATTTATTTCCACAACTTATTGCACATTCATTTTTTGGAGTTTTCATTGCAGAAAATTGCCAGGAGGAATGGATTTTGTCTTCCTCAGCTGGCAGAACAATTTTCCACCTGTCGCCCAAATATTTGATGAGAAGGATTATGGTACAGCTGCTGGAAGTTTATACTTTATATCCATAGGAAGCAAGAGGGTCTGATGAAACTAATATACTGATATCAAAAGTTGGCTTCCTGAGATGTATGTACAGCACTTGTGACTTTCAACATGTGCTGAAAATTTAGGAGGCCCTGTCTGCTCAGATGTGAAGTACAGAATGGTCATGGCTGTGTAGGATGTTTTTAAGCAATCCTTGATCTCCCACCGGCGCTCTCTTTTGTTAGAGGAACCCCAGTCCTAACTTAAAAGCAGGAGAAACACTCCCTCCTTGTAAGGTAGATGTGAATATCTGGTAAAAATAAAGAAGCCATATGATTGGGTTGCAGAGGCATTTAAAATTCTCCCTGACTTGCAGAATGCGCTGAAACTGTTCAGATGCTTTTTGTGGTTTTAGTCTTCCTTATTCCTGGGTATAAAAACACCATCAAAAAGAGTTTTTCCTCGCACGCCTTTCTGGTAGGTACTGAACACTTAAGTTTTAGGTTCAAGTCAGTTCTGGAAATGGAGTAGAAATAATTTAGCTGTAATATGATATTATCAGCTTTGAATTGTCACTGTGCTATTAGCCAATTTTTTTCAATAAAGCAAAGTTGATCACGGGAGATGATTCTGGGTTTGAATTTCTTTGATTGTTAAGTTATTTGTGTTTCACAACCTTGAAAACTACAGTTAGAACGTACAAACCAAGGGAGAACCACTGCAAATATACATTGGTTTGATGTCTGTTACTTCCAAAGGTATTTTTTATGCCAAGTAAGTTAATCTGCTTGACAGTTCTCCAGTTGTCTCTGCCTTCGTGTCTCAGAAAACCCAGAATGCTCTGAGTTTGTGTGTCTCTTGGGTGTAACTGGTCATTATTTCAGCGTTCGGTGGGCAGTTGGCACGTTGCAGTGGGAGGTTTCCTTAAGGACATTGTCCTAGGCTGAAACGTTAGGATGAGAAATTTGTCTGGATTCTTGGGTCTCCCTCTGGAAGATTTCCCTTCTCGTGCAACCCGCAGCTGCTCAGGCACCCCCGTGCCGATGGGCAGGTTGGAGAGGAGTGGGGAGGTGGCAGATGCTGTCAGAAATCTCGTTCGTTTCCCCTGGCCTTGTGCTGTTTCCTACAGAGGAAGTTGTTGTACGCGTAGACTTGGGGTAGCGCCGACAGTTTTGCATTCATGTTGTATCATTGTCTCTACAGTCTTACGCTGACATTGGTTTGGTTTGTTTTCATATCAGAAAGTCATTTCTGTTCAAACATCGGTGACATCTTTATGTTTTTCCACTTTGATATTTCATTATTGTCTTATACTCATGGGATATGGTCTTGGCATCCTAATTATGATTTCAGGCCCTACTGAAATGAGAAGTGAACAAACATTTCGGGAGAGAGAAAAGTGACCCTAAATATGTATATTTCTAATATATGTACATGCTGCAGCTCCGGTTACCAGTTCCATATACCTGGAGGTGTTTCAGCTCTCTTACAACCTTTGGTTAGGCACAGAGGTCACGTTAAGGGTTCTTAATTCCATACCTTTCACATGCGGTGAAATTTCCTTCTAATATTGTCCAATGTCTTATAACGTGGTTCATGTACCAAAATTAAGCAGGTTTAATTTATAGGAACACAAATGTAAGCAAACACAGCTATGCTTAATCAGATCATACCAACAGTAAAATGCAATACCAAAGATTCCCCCAGATCAGTTATTGATTGAATTTAAATCCAGGGTTTATGAAGCCATTAAACCTTATATGGAAATTTTACAGGCAGTGTGGGAAAATTTGTAATGAGAAGAGGTTTACCCATGTTGTAGTTCATCGTTCACAGGAACGCATAGTATGCTTACAGGTGTATAAGCACATTTTCTTTCTGACAGCATTCTTCACAAGCTGCTTCTAATACATTCATCTCAATAGTTAAATACATTCAACTCAAATATTCATCATTTAAGCAAAACATTGTCATGTGGAACCTGCTAGAGAGTAATGCCGGGTAGTGAACGTGTCTGAAGTAAGCCGTGCCGCTTGGCGTGCTCCTTGTTTTGCTGTAGCCTGGTCGTACCGTGTCATCGTTTGTTTTGTTTAGTGGAAACCCCGGACTGGTGACGGTGTGGATTCTCCATGCCCAGCTCCAGCCTCTTTCCCAGCAGGACTAGGGACAAATGAGGACTTTTGACATTTACGTTGAGAGTCACCAGTGGCTGAGATGTTGGTACAAATATTTAAAGGCATCAAGGATAAAGTCTTGGTAATTTCTTTGCTAACAGAAATTATTTTGAAGTTACTGCAACAGTCTTGAAAACATTGCTGTATAGCTCATGGGCAAGTCCCTCAACAGGGTCACGTGCTGGTAACCAGAGACAACTCGAGTGTGCCATTACGACATCGTTGTGAGCATCTTAAATATTGAGGAGCAGGAGGAAGAAAGTTTTTTACCTTTTCCCATATGTAGTTAATAGTCTTCAAGAACTTCCTCACCGGGTGTCATCGTTTTGCATCATTCCCATGCGCTCACCAAATAGATACAGAACAGCATTTGTCTTCTTCCCCAACATATTATACATAATATGCTGGGGAAGTATAATGTGATTATTTTTCCTAATCCCCAATCCAGTGAGTTAAATATGTAGTTCCCTCCCTTTACTAGTCTTACACAGTTTTTCTTGAATTTGCTCAAAAGCATGTGTCTTTGGAGAAGAGGAGGGTGAACAGCTTGTGTGGCAGTTTTCCGTTTGTGTGCGATGACGTGTCAGGTTACACAGATGAAATGGCTTTTATTGAGAGAAGCATGTAATGTATATAACAAATGTAGCATCAGCAAAGCAGAGGTGTTAGTACATGCATAATATATATAGAAATCTGTGCACTACCCCAGGTGCATGCCGACATATTCCTTAATAAAACTAGATATGGCATTACGCAATACAGTAGCCAGAAGAAACCAGGAATTTGGTTTAAAATACGGAAAAAAAAATACAGTATTTCTCTAAGTTTACAGATTGTATCTTTAGGAAATATACTGAAGTAGAAAAAGCAGGAAACACTGACTCTGAGGCTGGGGTCAGGAACAGAACATCAGTTAGTGCCGCTTTGCTCGCCCCCAGATGTGCCTCTGCTGATGCCGTTGGCAGGCAGATGAGGATGCCCGTGCAGTCGGTGCTTGATGGCGGCCACGCCAGTTAAGCAGTTCTGTATCATTTACCAGGAGTGCTGAATAAATAGTAAATTGGATTCCCCTCCAATATATAGAGTTTAAAGAAAAAGTTTGCAGTGAAACTCATCAGCATGCATGTTTTATTACTGACCATTCTCACCGTTCCTGTATTGTCAATCTTTGCTAAATACCGTGTCCCTGTAGGCTTTAGTAAATCCCTGTACTAGAGGAAATAACAAAGGCATTAAAGGATTTCATGTGGGCAACAAAATCTTGTATTTCCATCAATATCTGAGTGACTTCCAAAAAAAACCCCCATATTGTTGCTTATGGGACGGGGTCAACGGATTAAAACAACACAGATAAATCTCACTGAGTTGCTTTTCTGACTAATGGCTCAAATTTAATTATGAAAACCATTCCACGCATAAGGACGTTATGTATTCTGGAATATGATTTTTTTTTTTTTTTTTTTTTTTTTTTTTTTTTTTTTTTTTTTTTGTCTTTTGACTTTCCTTTAAAAATGATCATGCGTGTAGGAAGACAGTTGGCTTTATTTAATTGTATAGAAAATAATGACTGCAGGTGGTTCAAAGTTCATCAGGAATCGGCAACATCGGATCCATGAAAGGGAAGAAAGTGAGTGTCCAGAACTTTGGTCATCGCTCGTTGTCTTTCAAGGAGCGAACAGACCTGTCCAAAAGGAGTGGTTGGGGTGTTTACAGCTGGGAAAAGGTTTGGGGTTTTTTTTGTGGTGGTTTTTTTTTTCCTGAAGTACCTACAGGGTTGTAAGGCTTGGAGTGCAGAAAATATCCAAAATCCTGAGAAAGAAACCAAATGCTAATGCCAAGGTTTATAAATTGAGGGGACATGGGAAAAGGAAGCAATGGGAGATGAACTTTTAAGCAAGACAAGGAAGTTAGAGAGAATGCTTTTATATCAGCATGGCTCTTGTCTCCCTGTGGGCACAGCTAATAAAGGAAATAGCTACATAAATTGGAATAAATAACAACAACAACAAAAAGTATCCCACAGGCAGAAAGGGAAAGCAGGGATCCTCTGATTTTAGGATTGCTTAATTAGAGTGGAAGGAAACCAAGGTAGCAAAATAATCATGTTTGTTCCTTTTCTTGTACTACCAAAATTTAAAAGGGTCTGTGTTTAAAAACGTATGAGAAGTCTTTGTTCTTCCAGCCCTTGGACAACTCTGTGCTTTTTTGCAGGGATGGGGGGAGGAGATGGAGGGATAAATGAACTAGAGAATAATTCAATGTATACTAGGTTTTATAATCTGAAAGTGATGGTGATAATAAAGGGATCTTCCCTGATGGGTAGCATTAGAAGATGTAGTTGTCTTTTGAGGATGATGGTTACAGAAGGATTATTCATATTTATTCCCAGCAAGTTACGTGGCTTGTTTGGGACACTTCCAAGTGTTGTTTTTTTAATATAGAAAGTCATGCCACTTATTTTAAAAATAATTCTTAATTAAAAAAAAAAAAATGTTTAGAACTCATGTTTTTTCATTGTTTTAAAATCTCACTTTAACATCTAAATTACATCCTTATCGGGTTTTTTTTTTAATACTTGAAGGATTCATGTCTGTGTGATCTGACAACTAACAACAGTATATTTATTTCATAGAAGAATTCAGTTTTTTTTTTTTTTTTTTTTTGTTTGTTTTTTTTTTTTGTTTCTATTATTGTCATAAAAAGATTTAAAGTCCCTATTGGACTAGTGTGCAGAACATAAAATACAAAGCACTTCCTGAGAGGTAATTTTCCAGGAATGAAAAATACAAGAATTGTGTTTGATAGTTTGGTCTTCTGTCATTCGCTGTTGCATTAAAACAACCATTTTTCTATAACTACAAATGGCCTGGATCTTGAAAACTGACAGTTACAAAAAAGAAGAAATCAAACCCCTTAGAAAGTTCCGCTAGGCTTTCAGATGAATTTGAATGCGAGTTCGGGTACAAAAAAGATGATGCACAAAAGAAAGATGCATTAAGTTAAAATTCCAAGTATTAAGTGTACTTTAGGAGAGGCTTTGCTTTGGTCAGCAGCTCCTGCAGTTATCTCAGCTAAAATATTATTTATCCTGAAATACGTATAGATTTATATAACATCAGTAATAGCTGCTTAAATAATATTTATTAGGACTTGACCCCGGGGTTTGTTGTACCTGGTTAAGGATGGGCAGTGCCGCACACCAGTCTAGGCATTCTCTTCCCATAGCTTACCTACTAGAGCTGCTCTGGTTAAGGTCTGTGAAGGCTCCTGTGATTTATTTAAGTGTGTGTGTGTAGTCACAGAGATGTAAACACGGGGTCCATCCTTTCTGTTCTGGGACACTGGGGTGGGCCTCCAGGAAAGGTGCTTTGGGAACAGGGAGTCGAGTTCAGCCCCGGTGACGGAGGGGGGCCGAGGTGTGCGCTAGGGGGTTGCTGGACTCGATACATCTTCCTCTGTCAGCAAAGTACTTCTAGACCATTTCTAGAGAGACTTGAAATGCCTCATCACAATTTGTCTAATCTTGCGTGGCTATCGATTGCAGTAGCCAAATTGCTTAGGACTTGAACATGAAATATATATATATGTTTTGGGCCAAATACTCCTTTTTGTAGTCTCTTTGTTCACAGAATTTTACCCTCCCCTGAAGCTTGTACAAGTCTGTTGCACGACCTCCGATTCGATATAACATCGGGATGTGCAGGGAGTGAGTGCGGTTTGAAACTGAGACCAGTGGTTGCTCTGGCCTTGAGGAAACGGCTCGTCAGCTCGGGAGAGTTGATTTATCAATTCACTGGAAATTTTCCTATTGTAGCTGTGGTTAAGTAAACAGCAGCACTTGCTCCGAGCGTGATCGTACCTGTTCCAGTCCCAGGGAGCTGTAGAACACTGTAACTTGTCTAATCATCAAACTTTTTTTTAGTGTGTGTGTGGCAGGAAATGTCATCTTCATTAGGGTTAGAGTCTGACATTTAAATGCAGAAGGGTGCTTATTTTAATGTCTCTGAAATACTGCTCTGTGACTGTTCTCTTTAAGCATGATAAAGGGACAAGTAAAGTATGTCTCGTGTATCATAAATCACACTGAATATTTATGACGCAAAACTTCCAGATATCACAACCCATTGAAAGGGTGTCACTGCAGCCCCAGTCTGAGGCGGCAGCCACGTGGAGAAAAGGGGTATCTCCGCAAACAGAAACCAAGGAATGCAAATCCTCTGTGAATTTTCTACAGTTGCCTTCCAGCCTGAACTCACACGGGGTGGGGTAATGAGTTGCTTTCCTTACTTCTGCTAACGGTTGTACTCAAGGAATTGAATTCTTGCCAGATGCTGATTTAATCTGGATTATAAAACATCGTCCACCAGGTGCTCATCAGTAACAATTAGCAGGAGTGTAAAGCCGTATCGTTACATCTGGAGGCCCCTTGGGAGGAGAGTTGTGCCCTTCATTTCAGTGGGGCTGGGATCTCATCCTTTGTGTCTTGCCCTGGATAGCAAATCCAGTGGAACAACCAGGGGTCGTTCTAAGTTCTCTGACTGAATGATCCTTAGAAAATTGCCCACTCTTTTCCCTCCACACAGGCGTGTTGCTGCCTCATGACACCCTCAAAGCACTGTGGGAGCATGGGATTTCCAAGCCTCTCCAGAATCTTCTACTGACATTTTTTTTGTTATTTCCTCTAAAGCATGGATTTAATAACACCTGCAGGGATGCAGCGTTACTGAAGATTGACAAGGTGGAAATTGGCATCAATGTTCAGGAGTAGAACGCTAAAAATGATGATAATATTTCCTAAAGTACGCTGTGAATGTCGTTTAAACCGCTGAACTCATTCGAGGATCACAGTGATCTCAGCACATCCACAGTGCATATTTGCAGACACGGATGTGCTGGGAGCTGGGTGAGAGATACCTCCCTTAAATGGAAATAAAGACAAAGGACGTTCTCATCACTCTGTAGTCAAGATCTGTGAAGGTTTTTAGACATTTTATATCATCATAACTTCCCTTTCATTTAACTTAGTTTCAGTGGTTTTAGTTAAATCCCATTATGTATTGCCCTCCGCTATTTCTCTTCTCTGATGCCGTGTTCCCTTCATCTGCATATAGACCATGTCCTCCCCTGTTGTCACCTGGCTACACTGTATGTCTTCAGTCCTTTCTAATCTTCCTTCATCAACCGATCCCTTCTGACTTACTTTTGCTGTTCTCTGAATTTTCTCACAAAACTAACAAAGTCCTGAAATAAATCCCAGCATTGCTGAAAATCAGTGGGAATTTCCTGGGTTTGGCAGCAGCCACTAGGATTTGACTCAGTTAAAAGAGTTGTAGTAAAAGGAAAGGTTGTATTCCAGCGCTTCCGTGTTCATGTCTAAGCGCAGGAATTCAGGAAATAAGACACAGGCTTGCACGTTGGGGAGTGAATGGCCTTGGGTCCTACTGCCTGTGATAGAAGCTGAGAAAGCCTCACTGTCTCGCAGTTTCTGGCCCTACAGAAACCATTTTTCCACTTTCATATCGCCTTAAAGGGGCTGCAGTGAATGGGAACAGCTAAAAGCATATTGAAAATTTCCCCTAAGTGGGTACAAAATCATAGTTTGCTTATTGCAGTGTTGGAGTGGTACCGTAATGCTGTTCACATCAGTGGGTTTCTCTGTGGTTAGCACTCTGATCCCTGCTAGATCTACAGCCTAAAGGAAATAAAATTCTGTGAAAGAAAGGGAGATTTGGTAGTTAAGGCACTGGGCTGTCACGCAAGAGAATAAGGTTCCGTTTCTACTTTTTCCATAGACTTTCTGTATGACTTCAGGTGACTCGTTTAATCTTTTGTGCCTCAGTTTCCCATCTATAAAATCGGCTGTAGTGATGGTGCCATTTTCTGATGCTTTTCTGTCAATTTTCTTGACAGTTCTTACATCCAAAATGGTATTTAATCAAATGAGCTAATACAAAGGGTTCAACAACATGAAAAATGTGTATTTTCCTTTCCTTCCCTTTCAGGAAATGATAACAGTGAAGCCCTTCCAGAGTCTATCCCATCTGCTCCTGGAACACTGCCTCATTTTATGGAGGAACCAGATGATGCCTACATCATAAAAAGCAACCCCATTGTCTTACGCTGTAAAGCTATGCCAGCTATGCAGATTTTCTTCAAGTGCAATGGTGAATGGGTCCATCAAAATGAGCACGTGTCTGAGGAAAGCATGGATGAGACCACAGGTAAGGGCTAACGTGTCCCGCGGGAGGCAGGTCCGAGCTCGGGCTCTGTGACACCACGGAGCAGGGCAGAGAGCGGGAGGTGACGTTCAGGCACACAACCAGGAGAGCCGGGTGGCCCTCGCAGGCTCGCACGGAGCTACAGGAGCGGGAACTGGTCCCGATCCCAAAGTGACGCGACGGGGTCGGCTCTGCCCTGAGCACAGCCCTGACGCGCTCGGCTCAGCCTGTCGCGCCAGCCAGCTCCTGGTGCTCGGGCTGCCCCGTGTAGGCCCAGCCTTGCCCAAATGCAAAAGGGAAACAGCGGGTGGAAGGGACAGAGCTGACAGGCAGAGAAGGGGAAGACAGATCCTGCCTGAGGAGGGGTAGTGTGGGTGGGGAGAACGAAGGGGATGAAGGCGGCTGGAGGTGTAGGAGGGGTTACACAGAGACAGCAACAGACCGGATACACCCCAGCAGCTCTTCCAAGTGGAGACGTGGGGCTGGATCAAACATCGCAGTGAGATTTCTGAAAGAATGTAAGTTCTGGAGGGAACGGTAGTGCTCTGTGTTTCAGTGGCGTAAGTTGTAACAGGAGCTAGAACCGGGGAAACATACGCTGTTACGAAATTCCTGACAGGATGAACCCTGAAAAACCACCAACGTGATGGTTGAAAGTTGCCTTCACCCCCAAGCAGAGATGGGTACTTGGTGAGTAACAAAGCTAAATAGGAGAAATCCGTTGTGCAAAAGTGCTTCTCTAAAAGGAGAGAATGAGAAGGGAGAAAGTTGAAAATGATCAACAGATTGTATCAGGCTCCCAGCACACCCTATATCTTTTCTCATTTAGCAGCATCTTGATAAGTATTGCAAACCAATTTAATGCTGCACCGTCTTGTAATTTCACAATTCTGTTTTGTTATTGCTTTTCTCCTCCTTTTAAATTCCAAGATTGCTAGGCAACTCCGTGTCTTGGAAATAGCAGTGTATGCATAACATCCTCTCTGTCAATACAAGAAATTCCTTTTTAGAGGAAAAGATGCCATTTAAAAAGAAGTTACATCTCCTAAAGTGGTGTTTGGCATTCTTTTTAAGTGACACATTCTGAAGAAATTTCGTACTGAAGGCTTTTTGTAAATGCTAATCTGGATGAATTTTAATTTTTACAGTTACCTTTTTGAAAATAATTTAATAGGCATAACCTTTACTTCTAAAGGCACTGCTGAATCAATATAGAAGAAATGTCTTCCCTAAATGTTTTTCTTCCATATGGTTAATGAAAATGTGTCTTCTGAATACTGCAGTTACGTTTTCGAAGATTGGATTAATAACAGAATAAAAAAGGAGAAAGTAACATTAGGTGGGTTTTTTTTTTTTAAATAACACCAGTAACATTGAGGTTTGAGACATGGAGGCATAGGCTGGGCAAATATGATCTGGAATATAGACGTTACAGGTTTGAATTTAGCCCCGGGGCAGAGCTAACCCTGAGGTGTTGTTCTCTAAACAGGAGTGTGGTGCAGACAGTGTGGGGTGTCTGTGTGTTCCAAAAACCACCACCGGGGTCCTTAGGACAGCAGGATGTAAGTAAAAGGCTGTGTACGGGGAATGCTGAGGGACAGGCATGGGTAGTCTCTCACCATGCTGTAGCCAGATCCATAAAGGATTTTGGAACTCTTCCTTAGCCTTCAGTAAACAGCAGACTATTGGGTTTTTTTATAATTAATGTGCGTACTGGCAGTGCCCTCATTTCTGGAGTCAAATCTGGGGCATAAACATGTCTGTTACCAAGCAGGCAGGGTGTTCAGCGTACGGCGTGGGCTCCATCTGTGAAAAACTGCACTAGAATTTCTGCCAAGAATGGTGCCTCTGGTTAAAGGGTGTGATTCTGGTGAGTTGACTGAAGGGAGGTTACACTACATTAAAATGGGTCTGTCCTTTTCCATCCCTCCGCTGTTTGCTATGTGATGAAAATTCTGAGAAGATGTATAGGAAAGTGGTGAAAAATAACAGCAGGAAACCCAAACAAGAGGCAATTTAATGCTGAATACACAAAATGTATCTCAGCATCTCTGTAAATTCCTGCCAGCAAGCTCGTAGCCAGGCATGTGCAGGGAGTGCTTGGCAGTGGCACTCGAAGGCTCATTCCTGGTGGCCGGGACCTCCCGGACCTCAGTGTGGAAGCTGAGAGGGCTGGGGGGGGGCAAGGGCCATGCTTTGTCATCGGGGTGGAATCCAGTTTTGCATGATTTTGTTTTTATAGCAGAGAAAAGTCTTAGAGGAACACCGGGGTCACTGTTGATTTGAAGAGGAGGAGCAGCAGGAGAGGCAGGATTTCAGTCGTTGGGGGCTGCGCTTGGAGACCAAGTTCTTTCCTCCTCCCCTGCCTTATTTCCCGAGCTGCAGAACCGAGAGGCATCCCCACCTGCCTCTCCTCTTCCTTCCATGAACGCGGCAGAACTTTGCTCTCTCCATGTGCTCTGCCTCATAAAGCGAGAGCGTGAGCTAGTAGATGCTGCTGTGATAAAAACATAATAATTATGGTTTGATTAATTTCATTCTGCTTTATTTTTTCTTGCCCGCACATCGCAGCATGCACTTCAGAATTTAGTTTACAAATATCTCAACTTTTGGTTTCACCAGAGGATGAAATCTGCTAAGAGTAACTAGAGTTTTCTTGTCTGATAAATAAAAGGATTACAGCAATAACTGCTGTCAGTGTTTTTCTCATTTAAACAAATAAAGCTGACAAATGCTGAAGTTCTGTGCAGCTCTGTTATGTTTAGTACATGGAGAGCAATTATTCATCTGCTGCCAGCATTAGTCTATCTGCAGCTAAACCATCCAACAGTGCAGAAAGCTTATTAGCATATCAGTACCATAGTCATAATTTTATATTCTGTAAGGCTGTACTGTATAACAAAAGATGATGGTTATAATTTGCACAATAATTTAAAGGGTTGGACTTGCAGTGGTTATTAGAGTTGTACAAGTCACAGGTAAAACGTTGCTCTTGTTTATTATGTTGCCGGTTTTTATTTGCATGGATTTTTCATTCTGTGTCGTTTCCTATGGACAATTTTTCTGGCATTTTTTGAGGTGCAGAGGGTACGTGAGTGTATTTTTGGGTGAAATACAGTGATGATAAATGAAGAATGTATGTCTGTTCCCCATAGATTTGCTTTCTGTAGTTGTTTCTAAAACAAATGAAAATAGGTGTGCTTTCTCCATGAAGAAAACATAACTTTCCCCAAAGACTAGATGTTCTCCAGAGGTCCCTTCCAACCTCAACAATTCTGTGACTCTGCTATTTTGGATGCATTTATTTTGTCTATTGGCAAATTGGGAGACCTCGAAACGGACCCGAATTCCTACCTGTCCCATTCCCGAAATGCTGAACCACCAACTTCTCCAAATCACGTGTTCTTTGTTTGCCTCATTCAAACCACATTAAATGTTGCTTCAGAAAATACAGGTTGATATATAGATTAATTAAATAATGTGTCAGTGAAAGGAAGAGCTGGGCTGGAGAATAAATTTGAAGCTGTAAATGCCTTTATTCGTTGAGGACTGCTCAGAGTTTTGCAGTACTGGTGAGCCTAGAAATGGCTTTTGCTTCTCAACAAAATCATCATCCTGTGATGTTTTCTTTGCTCGGGATCAGTGAAGATTCTGCCGTTGTTAGCACGGACGCACCATGAAGCTGCACAACAAGCACTTCTCAGACCTTCGTTTCTCTTTGCCACCTCCAAAAATTCCTCGAGTAGCTCAGAGACGGGCAGGTACTGGGCCTGGGGGTGCACGGCGGCGCTGGGGCTGCTGACAGGGAGTTCTCCTCCCCGGGAAGATTGGGCTTAGCTGGAAGATGAAGGGATGGAGGAGACCTGGAGCCAGGCGGGTGCAGCGAGAGGCCGTGCCCTGGCAGCAGCTGAGCGGTCCCTGCCTGGGGAGAGGTCAGCCTTGGCCAGGCCCTCGGCATTTCACACCCCGTGGAAGGAGCCTCGAAGTAGGTGGGTTGCAACCTTGTTGGACGTGGCTGCGAATGAACATGGACTTGGAGGCTCTGGAGCTTCACTGCCTTGTGGTGATGGCCCGGGGACTGTCCCACCTTGGGCTGCCACCCAGGAACGGGAGCGAGCGTGTGTCTGTCTCTGTCACGTCGCCGCCAGCTCTGCAGCCAGGCACGGGTCAGGTGCTCTCGGGTGGAACTTACTGTAGCTGCTCTTACCCATCACGATCACTCTGCAAGGTGGATCTGTGACCGAGAGTCCAAGGATTCGGCGCTGGCAGAGCAGCTTGGATGCTTAAATTGAGATGATGCCTTTTCACCCGGCGTTCTGCAGCCAGCGCGTCAGCGAGGAGAGGAGCTTCCACAGAGCTGCGGGGTTCCACGGGCTGTGTTTACGTCATAGTGGCTTGTTTTCACCATGGCAGAAAATACAGGGGTGTTCTGTTGCAAACTGCATCAACATGTTTAAAAAAAAAAAAATGCAAATAAAAACAACCAGTGAACCTCTGTTTGTTTATTACAGAGTGAATAAATATTTGAGCGACTAAAATGATTATTGAGACAGCTTAGGAAGCTGTTGGAGTTTTGTCCATGTCTTTAGGTATCGCTGTGAAATATGGCAAGCCAAACAGGCTAAATGAAAAGAAGTAAAACACCCCTTTGCCTGTCACTGGAAAAGTAACAAAAATTTTGTATTGCTTTATAGTATTAAAGGCTTGTCTGACCTTCCCTGCCCCTCCTCGGTGAACATCCCCAGTGGGCCCCATCTCTGCTGTTTACCAAAGGAACACGTTGACTTCCCAGCGCCTTTCAGAAGTGAAATACCCAGCTGTTAATGATGCCTGAGAATAAGTGGAAGCCAATTTTTATGGAGTTCAGGTTTAGAAATTTCTTGCTGCTTTATAAACTTCACAGGCATGAAATATTTTAAGATTGAGTCTTCATTCATTTCCAGTGAAGGGGAAATAAGTATCTTGGGACTGCACGGAAGGAGAAAGAAGTAGTAGGCATGAATGTTTTTTGTTTCAAATTAATGTTTTTCGGAATAGTTCTTTCAAATGATTCCTAATGCCTTTTAACCCAGATTTGGATTATATTTCCTCTCCCCAAGGTTGTCATGCAAAGGTAGTTGCAGATATGGCAACCATCCCAGGTGTATAAAATAGGGTGCCAGGTTTGCAGGGCTTCTTGATGTCTTGTGTTTACCTTTAAGCTTTATCTGAAGCAGATGCTTCTGTTCTGAAGGGCAAAAGTGCTGAATTTCTTCTGAAAATGGTAGCAGGCTAAGAAAAAGCACAGGGCTTTTCCCATCTTTATTCCAGGCTAGCCTGCCTTGTTCCCTTCGATCCCTTTCTCAGCTCGTCAGGTGTAACTGACCCTACCTCAGGGAAGAGGCGTGTGTTCATTTTGATAGATCACAAGTTCATAGTGGACAACAACATGGCGCTGCAGGTGCATTTAGCAAGGTTATACTTTGGGAAGCCATTAGAGCCTTCTGTTTGTGGAGGGTGAGAAAGGCAAAGCTTCCGTTTTGCGGCTGGTTCACTTGTGTCCCAGGAGGGGAGGGTGGCGAAGAGGACCATCTCCATTTGTGAGCTGTGAAATTTATTCCCCTCCTCTTTCTCGCCTCCTTCCAGGCCGTGAGCTTAGTGTTCTCTGTGCTGCAGTGTGAGACCCAGCTTTTCTCTCCCGTGGGAGGAAACAGCTGCCGGGTGGAACTGTGGCACCAGTGCCTGGGACAGGCTGGAATTCGGTGGGGCACTGGATTAGTTCCTGCCATACGTGCCAAGTTCCAGCTGCTTGACTTGACTGGGGCCTACCGGGGTACTTCGGGCAGGTTTTCAAGGGCACCGAGCTGTTAGGTTGGAAGACAACTTTAATGTACGTTATCAGATTCCAGATAAGCATTCTGGGTGAGAAGGCACGCGGGAGAAGGTTTCTGAGGGAGCTGGTGTATTCTTGGGAAGACCACGGTGGGTGGTTAATTCTTGTAACGCAATGCGTTACGATCTACTCGGCTCTCAGAATTTAAGTAGTGGCAATACGTTATTGTCAAACTAATTAAAGGTTTGCCTTGACTGAAAGTGCATTTAATTAAAATAAAAAGTTTTGGCTAACCTTACCTTTATGCCCAGTTAAGACAGCTAATTTTCTGTACCTTTCCTCTTCAGGATTGAAGGTTCGAGAGGTGTTCATCAACGTGACGAGACAGCAGGTGGAAGATTTTCATGGGCCAGAAGATTACTGGTGTCAGTGTGTTGCATGGAGCCACCTAGGGACCTCCAAGAGTAGGAAGGCATCTGTTCGCATAGCTTGTGAGTAGAGTGAATGTTCTGCTACTCTAGGTTTTGTAAGGCATGGAAATATTCTGTTCTTTTAGGGTTAAATACAAAGGGATATTGGTGAGGCACTGATGTCTTTGTGAGCCCTCCCTGTGAGATGCTGTAGGAATATCACAAAAAGCATGGCATGGGTTTTTTTTCAGAGCTCTCTTTTATCTCAATGTGGATTGACTGATTTGCATTTGCACTCAGCAAGTCCGTTTCAGAGGTTCTGGATTGTGTATGCACAGTGTCGCAACAGCACAACGTAATAAAAAAGGTTAATGCAAATTGAAAATCCTCCCAAAAAGTGCCCCTGTGCTCCACGTTGATCACAGGGATCTAAAAAAACCTCCAACCGTTCGACACTATCTATCTTCTCCACTTTGTATGAAAAGAAGTGCAAGAATACTTTAGAAGCTTTTGTAACATAATATTTTACCCCTGGTTTTCAATATTGAAGCGTATCATCGGTCATCAGGTATGATAAGCTGTGGGGAAAAGGAGATAAAAGTAGGAAAAAATTGAATAATTCAAATCAGTAAAGTAAGAAATATCTTCCCTCCTTTCTCTGAAGAAATGAGATACAAAACCATCGTAACATCAAACACAAACGTCAGCGTGTGCTCCCCAGGTTGGGGGCATGAGGCAGAGGGTCAGCCCTTCTTGTGGGAGAAGAGGGGTGATTGCTCTCTGTCAGGTGCTGGCTGGGAGGGTGAATCCCTCTCACTTTAATGATTCCATCTCGATTTAATGACTCCATCTCACTTTAAATGGCCAGTTCAGGTCTTTAGGACCTTGTCCCAGGAGATGATGGCAACAGCCTGCAAAGAGTTGGGGGAAATGCTTCTTGGAAGGAGATGAGGGGCAGGAGGAATGGGTTGAGGAGGTTCAAGCAAGAGACTCTGGTAACTTTATCAGGTAGTGTTCTACCAGTGATTGATAATCTCTCTGAAATTATGCCCATTTAACAAGATAACTTAAACATTTGAGAGGGTAATAGAACAATGCAACAATTCCTTGATTTTATAAGTGACAGATTTTTTTGTTGGCTGATTTAGTTTGAATGTGTAAATATGTGTAAATTCAATTTTTTATTTTACTGCATTAGCTGTCATAACACTGAATGAACTAATAATTCCCCCGCATTGCTAAGCTGCAAAGGACTATTATGCTGAATTGAATTTTTATTGACTTTTCTGCGCACTGTGAATTCCCAACCCCATAATACGGTGATATGAGTGAGAACCAGAATGAGTAGAAGCAGGTGGAGCCGTGTTGGGACTTCTAAACCCACCACTGTGGCACCAGTGCTGGGAACCACGTCCCCAGCTGCAGGTCCCACCTCACCCAGCAGGCGCCCAGGGCTTCCCTGAGAACCTGCCCTGTACCGGCCAGATGCTGAGCTGCTTTTCCTTGAAGCCATGGGATTTATGAATAGAACAGCAGCTCTTGAGTGCAGAGGTGATGGGACTGGTTAGTGCTCTAGAAAGAAGAAATGAATTGCTGCCGTGGTTGTCAATAATCCACCTGCCATGAGTTTCCAGGGCTCCCCCTTCCATGGACCTGTGTCATCCTCCCTGTGGGGAGCAACCCGGCTGCCTCCTTTGGGGCAGGGATTGCTGATGGAGGGAGTGCCCTGTCGAGGGCTGGAGGATGTGTGGGTCCACACACAACCGTAGTGTTCCACAGCACCTGTTTTGTGATGTGTAGCATGGTAGTGCCGAATTTCTTTCTGTCTTTCCTTTTTCCTTTTGTTTTTGCACTTAAAGTCTAGAGATTTTGAATTGTGACTCAAGTCCAAAGCATTACAGAACTTTATATTTCTCTGAAAAAGCAGGTAAGTATTTCTTTATGATCGTTTGGAACACAGAGAAAATGAGAAGATGGATCTTACTCCGTTTTTCATCCTAATAAAGGCATTTGTAGGCACAACTGCAGCCTAACTGTTAATGAATGACTTTAAATAGAGTACGGGAAAAGATATTGGTTATCTGTGGGGAAAAAAAAAAAAAGCAGCATTAACAAGGAATCATAAAAAAGAGAATACATGCACTGCGTGCATCTTTCTCTAGTGACCAGCTTGCTAAAATAAGTCTTAATGTATTTTATAAAATACATTAAAGTGTAACTGATTTAGAGCCTCTGCTGTTTAAGGGGGTGTATTTCATGAAGTGTAAGCAATAGAGAAAATTAAATCAGTAAATCCACACTGTGGAATCTGAGACGCTGTTTGAAGAAAATGAGTATGTCTAGTGGAAACATCCTCACTCTCAAAGCACATGTAGTAAGTAACATTCCTTCCGCTTTGTTTTCCTTTCACAGCAAGCAAAACTGCATGTTGGTGGGTGTATCAGGGTTAGGCCAGGGTCACTGGAGACACGTTTCCTTTGGGTCTGTTGTGGTTTACCCAGACACTTGCACATAGAAGTGCTGCAGCCACTTTGGTGTGACTCTTGAGACAATATGCCCTGCTCCTTCTCCTCAATTATTAGCTGGGCCACGGGATCTGAGATGAAGCAACCTTGCCATCAGCCAAGTTGGAATGTGTGGAATTGCTCTCAGCTTGTTCCTTCCTTTCCCTACAACTTCCACGTGTAGGCGATAGAAACAAAACATCTATCGTGGAACATTTTATAAAATACCCTGGTGCTCCTCTGAAGGAGCACGGAGTGGGAAAATGATTCGCCCAGTCTTGGGTTCGTCCAGGTGGTTCTGGCAGCACCCGAGTGACACCACACTGGGGCTCTTGCACTAAATTCTCCTGGTTTGGAAAGGCAACGGCTCGAGAGATGGGATGGCTGCACGGCTGGAACCACGGAGTTTGAGAGCTCCGAAACTCGTTGTCTCTGTAGTCGCACACAGATCGTTTCTTAGAGTGGAGAAATGGCAACACACTAGAGATGATGAGATCTCTCTGCCTCTCGTCTAGGGAAGAACGAGTCGCTCTGGGTTGTCCGTTGCTTCAGACACACAATTAATTATGGCAAAGGGTTCTCGCCCCCCACCTCTGCCGCACGTGGTGTTGTTTGGGGAGGAATGGCTTTTGGAGGCGTAATGAATTATTGCATTAAACTCTGCAGATTTACGGAAAAACTTTGAGCAAGACCCCCAGGGGAAGGAGGTTCCTATCGAAGGGATGATCGTCCTCCACTGCCGCCCGCCGGAGGGAGTCCCTGCAGCTGAGGTGAGGCTGGGGGGCGGGAGGTGGGGAGCAGGGGAGGGGGCTTTTACCTACCGAGTGGTTTTCCAGGTTCAGTGTTGGTTACAGCGTTCCTCTCTCACAGACTGCTTTAAATACGTGGGGGTTTTATTATGTAAGTTTTTTAAAAAGTAGGGCTTTGTATCAAACTTCAGGAATGTTTGCTAAAAAAAAATCCTAGTTTTGATAGAATTTTCAAGTTTTTTGCTTACATACTGAGAACAGATTGTTACTTATTTTCTCAGAAATTACTTTCGTAATTGAAAAATAAAACAAAGGACAAAAACCCTAAAAATATTATGATAAATTGTTGTTGGAGAGAAAAACTGCTGCAAGTAATAATAATTCAGGGTGGGTTTTTTGCTTAGCTTTAAAAATGCTTTTTGTCCAGAGAGTTGAATCTTAACGGGAAACTAATGGGCATGCCTTAAAATGATAATAGCCGGACTATTCTGGGAGGAAGATGTTCTATGTGGGTTGTGTTTCAAAATCTGCTCGGGAGGCATTGAAAAAAAAAAAGAAAATCTAATGGTGGAGGCTGGCATGGCATCAGCATGTGGTTCCTGCTCAGGAAGCAGCTGGGGGGTGCCTCAACCCCCCCATGTGCCCGGGTGAGCTGGGGCTGCGCCGGGGGCTTGGCCAGAGCTGGGGGCACCCCCGGGCTGTGGTTCTGCCTGCACGCTCTGCAGAGGAAGGCAAATCGGAGTTATTTTGGTCTTATCTCCACTGTTTCTGGGGCATGCTCTAATGGAAGGAACGGAAGAAGCAAGGAAAAATAAACCCCAAGGAAGCATCCGTCCTCTTAGTTAAGGAGAGGCACGTTGAGCAGATGCCACTGAGAACAGAGAGAGGAGAAATGCAGCAAACTGGGGTGCAAAAAGCCCTGAGAATCAGGTAGAAGTGTTAAAGACCAGAAGGAAAATGAGTTAGAAATAAGAATGGCGAGGAGATGAATTTGTATCTAGGCATCTCACGTGCATCGCTCTGTCATTCAGATTTCTGCTACTACGTTCCCCTCAGCTCTGCATTATTTTTACTCATGTTCAGTGTTACTGAAAAAATGGCTACTGCATTACAGAGACTTGCCAAAATTATCAAAATGTGTATTCTGGTAAATTTACCTATTTTGTAGACAAAACAAACTTCCAAACGTGTAATTAATTGTCTAAACGCACACCCTTGGTCTGTGAGGGATTCATTGCTGATACTCTCTGCGGAAGGGAAGGGGTTCCCCAAAGCCCCCACTTGGCAACCTCAGTGACCTTCCTCTCAGGCAGCGTGCGCTGCGAAACCAGGGTTTGGGGGAAAAATGGTGATTCTCAGTCAACGCCTAATTTTACTGAGCATTTTAGAATTATTTGAACTACGCTGCTTTACACTCAACAATTAAACAGGATATCTGTCTTTTATGAAAGTTAGAAATTCTATCCAATGAAAACCTGACATTTTAATTGCTTTCTACAGATAAAAATTGTAGAGTTCTCAATAAACCCAGATTTACTGATGTTGACTGTAAAATTGTTATTGCTGCTAATAAAGCCTGTAAATCTTAACAGGTCATATTTGCGTTGGACAATAAAATTTCACATAAAGGCTCAGGATGCAGGGCTAATTCTGTGCTCATCAAGGTTAACAGGCTACTGGAAATAATTCAGTGTCTTTAGAAACTGGGTACCAGATTCCAGTCAGTAATGGCTCTGGTCCCTGGCAGTAAGCTTGATGTTATAAACTCTTGTGGTATTTTCAAGTTAAAGACCACCTGCCCTGTTAAACACGTGGGTGAGAAATGACCGAGATAGCCAGTAAGTCTTGCTCAATAATTGTTATGTGGGTACTGAGAAGTGTAGAAGGTCTCAAAACCCAGTGCTGGCAACAAAACTACGGTTCTGATCCAAGAATTTATTTCATTAGACTTTGGATGAAGCCCTAGATGAAAACATAAGGCTTGAAATAACTATGGACAAAGAAGCTCGTCTTCTGTTTCAGTAGATGCAAAATAGATGCTAATTGTGGTGGTGGTGTGTGTTTGTTTGTTTAATCCATCCTCTGCATGGACCTGGAAATGCAAACTGAAACCAGAATGGAGAGGAGACTCCAGCCCCTTTCATGTTACCATGCCATTATCTGTCTGAATCCCTTGGGAAGCTGTTGATTATTCCATCAAGTGCAGAAGTTCAGGACCATTATTTTCCTGAAGAGCACACATTTCCTGTGCTTGCCATAGTCACAAGTTAATCTAGCGATTTATTTCTGACAGGGGCTGTGAATGACTGATACAGTCAAACCTCTAATCATGCAACGCAGCTCAATAAGAGGCAGACACTTTACAACGGGAATGAAATTTAAATTCGGGTCAATTATTTATGTGAGCCTGCCCCATTATCAAGAATATAAATCTTCGTCTCTGAAATTGTTTTTTCTGCAGTTTAGAGGTGCTGAAGATTTCTTAAATCTGAGAATAGAAGCATTAAAAGTAAATGTTCTTGATCGAGACCACGACTTAATCTGAAGACTCCTGTCGTTAGGCCTGTGAGAGTGGAAAGCAGGGATACGTTTGGGTGACGGCTGACATCAGAGTTTCTTCAGAGTTAGCAGGAGGAAGAGCCTTGCTTTCCTGCCGTTCCTTTCCACATTTCTAGCCACTCCTCAAATATTTTCACCCAAGTGATTTTAGCCGCTGCTAATGTTTCCTTGTTTAAAACTGCGTGAGCGGATCTCAGCAGTTCTTGGTAGGCAGAGGTGCTTGTTACTGAATACATCAGCATTTCCCAGGCATATTTATGCCATTCTGTGCCATCAGTGGCAACCCCTTACTGTGCTTTTGGGCAGGAAAAAGTGTTCAGCTGAGTAGCAGCATTAGGGGTCCACATCTGAGAATTCCTGACCTATCACCACAGTCAGCGTTTTTGTCAGTGGTGCCTCTCAGTACTAACCTTTTTTTTTTTTTTTTTTTTTTTAAAATTTATTTTTGGGGTGGGACAGCAGGGATGACACAGAGATCAAGACCAGACCTCACAGGGAGGTTCTCTAGAGAGAATTCTTCCAGATCAAGTTTAGTTTTGTTGGGAGGAATTTGTGTTGCCATCTGTTCCAGGATGAGTAAGGCTTCCATGTTTCACCCCCAACAGCAATGAAAATATCCAGATGAAGTTTGCTTATGTGCGTGAATGTCCTCACCCAGTACGCGTAAAAGGAGTTGGGTGAATGCGGATCAAAGGTTTGGGTCCGTAGTTTAGATGTGTCTGAACTGTGTATGGCTAAAAACTGGGCTTGTATAAATTAATTTACAAATAGTGACAAGCTCATGTGACATTGTCAGTGCTCTGCGTGCTCGTACAGTTCAGTTTTGGTAAATAGTCTTGAAGCTGAACAGCACATTAGTGAAAGCAAACAATCAGGGAGGATTGCAAATAGAGAACGGCAGTATTCTAATTCCGCTCTAATGGGATACAGGCGTGAGTCAGGAGCCCCAGATCCTGCTGAGGCAAGCACTGGGTTTAATGCTGCTTTGAAACGTGCTGTTCTGTCTTGATTCATTTAGCAGCAATTTTCAGTTGCTTGTGTCAGCTAGGTCTTGAGTAAAAGACATAAAAAGGAGTGTGTATCTCTAAATCTGCATTCTCTTCCCAAGATTTTGATTATGCTCTTCATGGAGCCAACGTCCATCTCTTGTGGGTGAAGCGCTATTGAATGTGCCTGATTCCACTAATGAGAAAACCTCCCGTGGCAAGAAAACTTGAGTAACTGCGGGGTTCCCTGTTGTTTTACCCTGTCAGAGAGTTTAGACGTTCTCAACAAGTTAGGGAAGCGTTGTGACTCCGGGAGAGGCAGGGCAGTGCCACAGCCCGTCCCCTGGAGCCCCTTGGTCCAGCTCTGCAGCCTCGGGCCCCCCGCACCCCCCGCGGCTCTGCCTCGGGGTGCAGGTGTCCCACGGCCGGAGGGGAGGGGAGCTCCAGCAGATGCTGCACAGCTCTGCTGGGGGAGGTTGCTGAGGGTTTGGGACGTTCTGGGTGCGTTGCCACAGCAGCAGGAGAGTAGAAAACCCAAATCCCGACACCAGGCAGATTGGGAAAAGGTTTTAAATCCTCTTCTTGTGCATTCACGTGACAAGCAAAACAGAGCTGGTGAGCAGCTGCGCTTGCAGGCATCAGCACCCAACCCAAATAAATTCAGCTTTTTATGAGTTAAACATCAAAATAAAAAAGAAAATCCAGCATTTAAGTAGAGCATCTGATAATCCCCTGCTGTGGCAAATGTTGATTTAAATATAACAGAGTCTCTGCTGGCACAGGCTTGATGGGACCAGAGCCATTTCTTTCACTATTGATGCAGAGTTGGCCTAGGAAAGAGACAGTTCTGGCTTTCAATCCCACAACAGATTCTCCCCCTAGATATGTTTATTAATTGTGTGCAACAGAGGCCTCCTTTAGCTTGGAGTGTGTGCAGTGAGGCCGTTGTGGTGTGTAGGAATCAGCTGAGCTCCCTGATGAATCCTTGTCTGCTGGTCATTTGTGGGGAGGCTGCCAGGTGGGGACCTTGGCCTTGGATCCCTGCGATGCTTGGATCCCTGAGACTGCTTCCCTCCACAGATACCGAAGGAAGGATTTCTGATTTGCATTGGCATGATGAAGATGAGAGGAAAGGGAGGGCTGAGTTCTCCTCTCGGAAAACGTGGAGTTGAATATTGAGCTTGCCAGAGCAACGTCTTTAGCCTTGCTACTGGTGATTATCTGCATCTCTTCACAGGACTAACCTCGCTCGTTATGCACAGCCTGTTGCTGTGGGATAATTTGGAAGAAATCTGTGAAGGGAAGAATGGTTTCTCTCTGTTAAAAAAAACATTTCCAAAAGCAGTGTATTTGACAGTGACATAATGCATTTCCTCCGAGCCGCAGTACCTGCTAGGGCTGACCTGCTGGCCCCCTCCCCTCACACACGGCCCCGGTTACAGAGAGGAGCCTCTGCCGCAGCTTGAACAGATACGG